ACTGTACACAGGTAAGCTGAGGTCAAGGGATCGACCCCTGGGATCTGCATCGGCTACTGCCAAAGGTGAAAACTGTTTCACCATTCATGTTCCTTGCAGGAAGAACAAACAAGAGAAAAACAAAGGTACCAAAAAAAGGACATGAACCTGCAGAAGCAGAATACGTTGAATTTGGGGAAAGAGCACAAGCACGTGCACATTTCCGAAGATGATCAAGCTGTTGCATCCACCAAGAATCACTGGGATTATTACAGCTGCTGAACAGCACATACTGTCTCAATGACACCAAAAAAAAAAGGACCAGCTGAAGATGATTGGAAAAGAACGGCGGTGCGCTACCAACCTACGAATGTCAATGTTTGATGACATTAGGTTTTTAAGTTCTAACCATTCTGTCACCCTGTTTTCCCGGGCGGCCCGGCAGTGCAAGGACCAGGGAAGGTCCCAGCAAAAAAAAAAAAAAAAAACGAAAAAAAAAACTATGTTATGCAGAAAAATAAACTGAACAACTTTTGCCTCAGCGTCACATCGAAATTCTTTACCAAACTTAAAATAAAATTTTAAAACTTTTTTCTTTTTTTGTTTTGGCCCGGCCACTCTGGTAGCCTAGCCTGAAATTCAATATCCCAAGTTCCAATCAGATTCAGCTGCTGTCCTTCCCTGTGATGGATAACCTCCCACTTTTTCAGAAGGACCTTCCCTCTTCAGCTAGACTTTCCTTGTTCAGAAAGGGGAACTGCCTGCTAGCCCCTAATAATTTTGGAATTGTATGAAAAGTTGCGACCTCAGCCACCAGGCAAGTACATCACACATCGTCCAGGGCCTAAATTGCAGTATCCTTCTTTCTTAAACCACCAGTACTTCCGAGGCACTTCTCTCCAATGCTGGAAACGCGCTGGGCGCCATACGAAATCGAACGGGCACAACTTTCTTTTCGCTGGTGCTGCCAGCCATTTTGCTCCTGTACCCGAGCCCCGAAAAATGTGGCGCATAATCAAATCACTCACCCACTCAGACAGACAAGCGGACCGACCAACCGACTGACGGACAAACCGACGGATAGAGTGACAGATCAACGAACTGGCAGACCAACGGATGGACCAAGGGGCAGATGGACAGAAGAACAGACGGACAAATGGACAGGCAGACACAGAGACAGAGAAGCTTACAAACAAGCAAGCAATTAGAAAAAGCTATCTTCTTATACTTCTTTTCCTGCCACTCACTTACATGGTCACTTGCACATCTGGTAGTTCTGCAATGGATTCTGCAGAGTCTAAAGCATTCTCCAACAGCTCTCTGACTGTCGTATACAGAGACTTCCCAGGCTGCATGCACAAGGGCACAAAACCAACGATTTTGGGATGCCCTCATCAAAATTCATCCAAAGCATTCCAATCTTCAAGCCGATATTCTGATATCGTGAGATAATAAGAACACGAATACCATAAAGGCTCATAAAAGGCTACCTACCAAGTTCACCCATCAAAGCGAGGACGTCCTACCGAGTTGTCCTTCCCAGGCCGGACAGGCCGCAGGTAATCCATCCCAAAATCCGGACAAGTCAGAAGGAACGGCTCCTAGAGAGGTCTTTTAAGAGCTCAGGACCAGAATCCTCATCTTTGGGCACGCCATCAAATCCAGAAAACGTGTTTAAGCCAAAGGGGTGGGGAGGGGGAGGGGGGGGGGGTGTCCAAAGGAGTGAAAAGAGCGGGTTAAAATGATTTGAAAGGTATCCGAAGGGGCGCATTGAAGTGCATTTTGCAATTTGCTTTTTCTTTTTCTTTTCCTTTTTCTTTTCATGTTCATTTTCGCAACCCTCAGCTCATAGGATCTGATCCGTGGTCCATCGGACCACAAAAAAATAAAAAATAAAATAAAAAAAATACAATAAAAAAAAATTGCAATTTTCTTTTTCTTTTTCTTTTCCTTTTTCTTTTCATGTTGATTTTCGCAAAGGGTTTTGTGGTGGCTACCCTCAGCTCATAGTTGTGGACAGCCCTGGCCCTGCCAACCGTCCGGCCAGATTGCCAAAACAAAAAAAAGGAGCCACAAATGAAAAAAAGAAGGCCCTGCGGATTGTTGCCGTTCCGTCAGCTACAAGGAAGAAAAAAAAAAGCTTCAACCCCTCCACAGGTGCAAATCAGAAGATATACCCCTCTCGGCCTTTTGGCTACGATCAAGTCTAGTATCTGTTCTGATAAGCTTTAACCGCCAATACCCCGAGAGTTTCGGGGTCCAATGCATCAGACCGACCTTCTGCAGGCCGGTACATACCTCCACGTATATGGCTGAAAGTTGGAAGGTACTGGTGACCTCCGAGCCTTTTTTCCCTCACCCGGAGCTGAGCTGTACATGAAAAAAAAAAGCAACAAACTGGCGCGGTGCAAACCTTTTCTCCCTTGGTCTGGTAGGCCGAACCCCAAAAAAACGCAGTTGTATACAAATCAGTCGCAAATCAATGGCTGGAAATCGGTCGCAAATCAATGGCTGGAAATCCCTCTAGTGGTTTGAAACCCCAAACAAAAAAGGGAATGAATCAGAAGACACAACAAAACAGGGACAGCACAAAGAAAAGGCATGGCAATGAACAAAATTGGCGCTGCCCCAGCAATCTTTACAGCATACTCACACTCGGACTTTCCTTGACATATAGGTATCTGGCCTCAATTCAGGCCAAATGCTGTCGAGAAAAATCCTTGCGTCGCCTTTAGTTGTCCTTGCAATGCATAGGAATTCCCAATCAGTTACGTTCGTAGAGGACCATGCCACTGAGCACACTCCAACTGCAGCCAGTGTTCCTTCCTTCCTCCCTTCGGATGAGCTTACCACACGCTCGCCATAGGACTAATGGGACTGAATCTCACCTACATCCAGAGAAGTCAATGCTTGCCCTGCCATCTTCCCCACAACGCAACGCACCCTGATTTCGGCTGTACCTGACCGGAAAGATAGCTTGTATACAATCCTTATCAGGGTGCGTTATGTTATGTTCGCGGGAAGACAGTAGGACTGCGCAAAGAAGTCAATGCTTAGGATTTCCTCACTAAACTGCCAGTTCATCGCCCAGGCAAACTTGCGAATCAAAATTGAGCCAACGCAAAAATTTCGGAGGCATACGGCTACCGGACCAMAAKGGSKGGCAACSCCAGCCRAAAAAAAAAAAAAAAAAAAAAACTGCGCCACTGGCGGTTCGGCAAAGCTTGGCGCGCAGGGCCAAAAATCGGCCACGACAAAAACGGGGTTGGATGTACTACCATAGTCCTTTGCACCACCAATAGCTCCAGAAGCCTCTTTTGCCCGACGCAAAATTTTGCCCGCCTCAACAAAAACCAACTGCCGCGTGGAAACAGCCATGCCAGCCATTTTGGTGCAGCAGGCCAAGCCTATCCACGGCACCGGGTTATAACTCGATTGGGGGCCCAATCGGCCTATAGCTTACCAAGGTACAGCTGGATATCATAACCACCATTTCCCGGATTAAATATGATGACACTCTGACATCATCCAAAGTGGGAATGACCTCCGAACTGCCTTCTGGCAACGGGTCAACAAATTAGACAAAGAAGGTAAAAAGCACATAGAAAGATTTTTTCTTTTTTTGTTTATACGTATATACATAGAAAGATCGTACAAAATATCAAAAAAAAAAAAAAAGATCGTACAACAGAGCCACAAAGAAGATATACAGAAAAGAGGTACAAAGAAGCTACAGAGAAGGTACAAAAACAAAATTTAAAAAGTTCCAAAAAGGTATAAAAGAAGTGCAATAAAAGGTACAATAAAAGATATTACCAAAAGAAGGAAGGCGCCACAGCTGGATATCGGGCTGGCCGCAACCCATCCTGGTCGTCCGGCCTGATAAGTCCATCCAGCCGGATAACCCAGCTGAATACTATCCAGGCCTCCGCAAATTGGGGCGCATAGTCCCGACATCAAATCAGGCTTTCTGGGAGCGGTGCTGCATGGGTGGAAGGGTAGGAAAAAGAAACCGTCGGAGAAAACAGAGGCCCAATCTGTGCCATCAATGCCTGCAGATCGACGGCCCAGATTGGGCCTGCTTTTGGACTCTGTCCAAGGCCCTGCACTTCGCGCAACACAAATGAATTTTGGGATAGCGCTTCCTTCTTCTTCTTCTTCTTCTTCTTCTTCTTCTTCTTCTTCTTCTTCTTCTTCTTCCACCTTGTCCCGCACTTTTCTCCTCCTCCTCTCATCTTCTTCTTCTTCTTCTTCTTCTTCTTCTTCTTCTTCTTCAGGTTGTGTTTAGTGCGTGCGTTTCAAACACGTGTGTGTTTGAAACGCGCGCGTTCCAAATTTGCATCGCGTGTGTTTTTCCAAACTCGCATGTTCGAAAAGCTAGCACGCAGACACCGAGTGGCTCTGAGAGAGGGGAAGAGGGGGGGGGGAGGGGGGAGCGCATGCACCCACATCAGGGGAGGGAGTAGGAAAGAGAGAGAGTTAGGGAGGGGGAGCTCACATGCGCACTCACGAATATCAGGGAGGGAGGGGGAGAGAGCGAGCGAGAGAGAGAGAGAGAGAAAGAAAGACCGTTGGGAGGGGGGCGGCACGGCAGGGGAGAGTGAGTCGAAGGTCGAGGGGCGGGAGTGGGGTTGTGCTTTTTTTTCTTTTCCTTTTTCTTTTGCCGCCAGATCACCCCGACTTTACGTTCCTGGGGATCATACGGGGGGGTGCCAAAACCATTCGGCCAGATTTTCCATCCCACCTAGAAAACGAAGTGGAAAACATGCAAGGAACATATTCAACAAAGGTTCAAGGAAGGTACAAAGAGGGAAGAAACACACCTACATTATCAAATCCAGCAATGTTCTTGTTTTCAGAAAAGAATTCCGCAGGAGATTCTGCAGAGCAGCATCCCAACAGTGGATGGAATGTTAGTATAGAACAACAGCAAGAACAGAAAGGCACATCACAACAGCCAAGCACAGCCGCGCACAGCCGAGCACAGCAAAGCACGGCAAGGCATGGCAAAGCAAACGGCGGCAAGGTCACAAACTTGGATCTGTAGGAAAGTAAGGGCACAGAAAGAAAGAAAAAAGACTCCAGGTGCAAAGGTGCAAAGGACCGCACCCACATCTTTTTTTTTTTTTTTTTTTTTTTTACAAAAAAAACAGTCCTTACAGTGCTAGTGCAGTGACTGGGCAACATAAATTTGATCTCCTCTCCTTGAAATCTTTTGCTTCTTTCTCATCGCAATTCACCACTCATCTGGCTGAGGAGGATGAAGCTAAGGTCACAAATAAGGCCCGGAATCAGAACACGCACAAAATAGAAGGTGGTGGCCCGGAAATTGGAATGGGAACAGTCGTAAAGTGCTTAAACAAGGATTCATTGGAGGGCAAGTCCGGTGCCAGCAGCCGCGGTGATTCCAGCAGAGTCGTTTGAAAAAAACGAAGACAGAAGAAATGCGGGGCAAGTGGAGCATAACGAAACTTAACTCTGCTTTAGCACTGGATCGCTTCCTCCTCCTTTCCCTTTGCCCTTCGGCCCCTTGGGCCCGCCTGTGGTGGCATCTCCTTGCATAGTGGAATGCGGAAATGGAAGGACACCCTCCCTGCAAAGCAATGTCGAAGGGACACTCTGCCTGCAATAAGCTCAAGCAAACAAAAGCACATCCGCGCATGTCACGGGATGCCAAGCAAAATAGTAAATTCAGTGCTGTACATGCAAGAAGCAGAAGAAGATATGCTTTCTTGCTTTCATTCAGAGAAGAAAGTGACCATATCTTCACCCGAATGATACGTACCGTCGTTATCTTTTCATATCTAGACTGAAAGTTGGCCCAAAAATAGCCACGCTCTGTGAATCCCCCCCGGCCGCGGTCGCCACAGTGACGACCGCGGCCTGCAGTCACGGCCGTAGCGGCCAGAGGGGGAGGGGGTTGCGGATTGGGGTTCCGGAACCCCGACCCTACCCCCTAGAGAAAAAAAAAGTTTGAAAAAACGATTTCCAGGGGGGTGGGGGGTGGTGTGTGAAAAACAATTTTTTTACGAAAATTTTGAAAATATACTGATTGATTGATTGATTTATTGATTGATTTTGTATATCTGATTGATTGATCTATTAATTTTCTGATTGATTGATTATTGATTGATTGACTGATTGACTGATTGATTGATTGATTGACTGATTGATTTATTGATAGATTGGCTGGTTGGGAGGGGAGGGGAGGGGAGGGGAGGGGAGGGGAGGGGTCTACCAACCTCCCGCCCCCCCGCTGCGCGCGCGCACACACACACACACACACACACACACACACACACGCACGCGAGCACACACACATACACACACGCACACACACACAAACACACGCTTTCGTGCTTTTTTTTTTTTTTGGATCAATCAATCAATCAATCAAACAACCATAAGGGGATCAATCAATCAATCAATCAATCAATCAATCAATCAAACAACCATAAGGGGATCAATCAATCAAACAACCATAAGGGGATAAATCAATCAATCAATCAATCAATCAATCAATCAAACAACCATAAGGGGATCAATCAGTCAATCAATCAATCAATCAATCAATCAAACAATCAAACCAAAAAAAAAAGAAAACGTCTTTGGCTTTTTTTTCATTATTATCTTATTTTTCTTTTATATTTGCATCTGTCGGTAAAAAACTGAATCAAAGCAACATGTGCACCGTGTTTATCCCACCAGCAATCAGAAAAAAATGAAAAGAAAAAAATCCCTTTTTGTTTATTATGTTTCTTTTGATTAGAATACTTGTTTTTTCGTTTTCTAATTATTAAAAAAAAAAAAAAACGTCGAAATCCAAAAACAAAAATATGGGGTTGTAGGGGTTTTCAAACCCTACAGCCCGGTTGTTTGAGGATAGGTATGAAACAATTATTTTATAATAGAAAAGTAGTCGTGCTGTTTGGTATAGGCGTGTGTGACGGGCTTGGAGTGCCTTTCTTTAATGTTTAATGGTGATACGAACTCGGAACTCTGCCCGTGTCTGTAGACAACTTGGGAGTGAGAATAGACTACAGTCTTCCCCCGAATACAACGTACGGTGATTATAGCTGAATTTGCGGTACCTTTCGGTCTAAATTCAGCTGTAATGACCGTACGTTGTATTCGGGGGAAGACTGTAGGTGGGAGACATCGGGTTTTGATTGTTATGGTTCGAATTTCCTTTTAAAATTGTGTGGCTTTATAGGCCTTGGTGGCATTGTTTTCTCTCCCAGGGTTTTGGAATATCAGGAGAGCGGTCTAGGGTTAGCCACTCTGTTCCTAGAAGAATTTCTCAACGCCTTATATAAAAAAAAAGAAATAATAAACTGGGTAATGCTCCCAGACTTTTTCGGGGTTGATTGTTGAGGGATTCCCGGCCTCATTGTTATTTGAGCATAATAAAAGCCTGCAAAAGGCCCCCTTTTATTATTATTTAAAAAAAAAAAAAAAAAAACCTACAGCCCCATTTTTTTATTTTTTTCTATTAGTTTTTTTTTTAATATAACAATTTCTCGGCCGCGCCCGACCGCCCGCCTGGGCCGTGGACTACGGTCGGGATCCCGACCCCAGTCCGAGTTTGACCGCGGGGATACCACGATGGACATTTTTTATTGCAAATATAGCCACGATAACCATGTGTTTTTTGTTCTATTTTGGTGACAACGGTAAACCCCAACCGATAATATACATAGACCCCTTGTCCTTTGCCTCCTTTTCATCAACACAAGTAAACCATTGACCCGCCTACTACCTACCTACTGGCGTGTCTTGTCCCTTCTTCACCACGACGGATGTGCCCCCACCCCACCATCTCATGTCACGGTGCCACTTTAAGAGCCACTCCAAGAGCCATAGGTGGGGAGCTTCGGCGAAATGTTTGTTTGTAAAAACAAGGGGGGGGGGGAACAAAAACAGAAGGCTGATAGGAGAACCAGCGAGTACCTGAAGATTTTTCCTTCCGGAATGCTTCCCAGATCGTTGAGCTATTTTCCTTCCAAGCACCAACCAACACTGCGCAGGGGTAGCGTTTGCCTTCTTTGCCTTATGCGCAGACAACAGACGATCACACAGTCTCCACCATGAACTATCTGCAGCCGATCCAACCGCCCGTTGACTGCACATAATTGCGGTGCATACACCAGGGCTCGAACTTGGGACCTAGGGCGTACTCACACTCCGACTTTCCTGGACGTATCTGACCTCCGTTTGCAACCACATTCAGTTGAATAGAGTCCATGTGAGAGTATGCCGCTCCACCTCCTTCACTCTTGTTTATCTGTCTGTCAACATAATAGGTGCAGGTACCACTCATCACCTACCGTCTTCCCCGAACACGACGCACCCTCATTTTGGCTGTATTGCACCGAGAAAGATAGCTTGTATGCATTCATTGTCAGGGTGCCTTATGTTCGGGGGAAGACGGTAGCCTTGAATGCCTGGAATCGACCCCATGCGCAATAATGCCCCCCACCTATACCAACCTGCAATTCTCACAACAAGAAACAAACCAACCTGAGCCTGAACCAATTAGGATTTTATCACACCACCTCTACTATTACGTATAAAAATAACAAGTGGACGGGGAAGGGGGGCAATTGATCGACTGGGTGTGTG